TTGTTAAAAATAAAGAAAGAATATTTCCCCATTTTTTCCCTTTGAGCAATCCTCCAAACCTCAAATTTATCCTCCATTTTTCAGCCAATTTCTTTTAAATCTGATTCCAATGATCATCGAAGAGCCGTTTACAATATCAAAATGTTGATTTCTCTAAAAAACTACCACATTTACGTGGATCTAGCCTAAACATTTTCAAGTTGCATTGCATCTTTCATCCTAAATCTGCCAAAGAACGAGAATCATGCGATATTTGTTCGAATCCAAGTGGGTGTTAGGATATAAAAGGGTTTAGATTTGTTCTACATCAACTAAACATATTTATCAATCTACATACTTTTTTATTTTAATAGTTTTTTCCTCAAATTTGTTGCAAAACCTAGGGTTTTAGGAAATGCTCCAAGTGATTGATCTCTACTTCAAATTTGAATCAAATTTCTTCAAATTTGGGTAAAATGAATCATATTCAACATCTGTACAATATGTAGGTCCAACGTAATGGATCTACTCATTATCATAAAGATCTTGACTAATACATTGCTGGATTTAGGGTTTCCAAAAAATCCTAATTTTTGAAAAAAAAAAAACATTTATTAAATGTTGAACCATCCAATAAAAGATTGACTTCATGTTAAAATGTGTATGTATATATGCAAAAAATGTTACATAATTCCGCCTTGGCTGGCCCCAAGCGGGTCATGCCTGACCCAAGCCCAGGTAAAGGCCGAAGGTTGTGTAAAGTAGGGTAGCTAGAATAAAATGTTGCCAAATCTTGTCATGAAACTTGAACCTATAAGCAGAATGACAGAACATAATTCATGTTGTTGACCCCAAATAGTTAGGATAAGGTTTTGATGATGAAGATGATGATTTACTAAATGCTGAAATTTCTTAGGAGTTTTGTTTGATATCTTGTGAAGAATTTGATAATTAATGCTAATAATTTGAGTTTTCTTTTTTATACATATCAATGTTTTTTCTTGTTTTCTAATTTTAAGGGGAAAAATGTTCACTTTTTTTAAAGTATTTTTTATGTCATATGTGAAATTAAGTTGGATATTTTTATTTATTGGTTTTATATTATTTTAAACAAGATTTCATCAAAAATTTTGTAATTGGTATATTATTAGTTGTTGCCACAGAATATATAATTCCTTATAAATTTATTCTTTTGTAAATTATATTTGTATAGCATATTAATTAATTATTTTTTATATGAGATTATTGTGAAATTGTTGGTGATAGTTTTTGCCAAACCCTCATATTTCTATAATTTTTTTAATCTCATAACGTGAAATTATGTGCAATTATGTTAAATATTTTTTTATGAGATTGTTGTGAAATTGGCTCATTGTAGAGTTCTTGAATTTTTTTCTTTCTTGCTATTAAATTCTCCATTTTTCAGATTATAGGTTTATGAAGTTGATATTATTGGTTAGATTATAGGTTTTTTAAGTTGATATTATTGGTTTTCTTTATTGAATTTGATAGTGTTTTGGCTAGAAAAGCAGTAGTTCTCAAACCTTGGGCGATTCGATTAATTAACAAGTTTGACATGTACATAGACTGACTCAATAAATTGTCCCAACAATTCAGTGAGCAAAGGCAACATGATCAAGAGGAAGAACAACGTTGTCTTTCGTTCTGGTATTAAGTTGTATTAATTGTATTCTCTATTTAGGACTATGCATTTATATCCATGATTATTGTATGCATGTTTTTCTGTGACATAAATGTAATGGTCAATTAATATTCAGACATGAAACGACATCTCAATATTAACATATTTTTACAAAATAATGAAAATTCATAGTGTAGCACCCATTTTATTTGGAAACATAAAAATTAATATCTGTAACAATTTTAATAAAATTTTAAAAGTTCTTTAGGGCCTAATTGAGCTGATCCAGCAGATCCACCCATCCATGTTACTGATCTACCATTTTAGACCGGTTTTCCTTATGACCGATCCGTTAGACGATCCAGATTTTTAAATATTGCTAAAAGACAATCTAAGAGCGGCGGTCGTCTCCAATGCAGAAACTTCTCGTGCAAGCCTAGCATTCACTTGATAAGATAACTTTGGATTAGGTAAGACAACGATATAAGAAGGTTGTGGTTTGCATAAGGCTGAGGCCCTAAGCAATCAAAGTAAGGCACAATTTCATATAGTGTTGAAAGATGTCGTTTCACTACAAAAAATCCTTATAATGGCTTGAAATTTTATTTTCTTTTCTGATTATAAAGTTAAAGCTCCAAAAATAGGTTTGATCAAGCATATCTATAAATACTTGAACTAATTGAAAATTGACAATCTAGATAATGTACTATAAATGCACTATTTTTAAAGCTTGAAATCGATTATCTTTTCTTTTTTGTTTATATCCATGCATTTCAATATTGAGATGACCGTATTTAAGGGTTTTTTGTATTAAAACAACTAGTAGTGAATTTTGGAGATGCGCCTTAACTCGATTATTTAGTGCCTCTACCTTATATAAACTTTTTCGGTATTAGAAAGGTGGTTCTCTTTTGCATATACAAGAACGGTGGTGGTCTCCCATGCCGAGCAATCCTAGCATTCACGTGGTAAGATAACTTTGGATTACACAACTTCCACACATACACACAAAAAAGAAAAAAAAAGAAGCTAACTTTTGATTAAGCTTGCAGTAGTAGTATATGGATGTATCATTTGTTGTCAAAATGCAATTGGAGCTTCAAGCAAGATGTTCATGTGACTAATCCAACTCGAACTCCAACCATTTCCACCAGACAGGTCACATCGGAAAAGACAATCCTAAGCCGCACTTAGAATTACCTACCCACACATAATTTTAAGCAAGATGTTCAAGTGACTACAACCATTTCCACCAGACAGGTCACATCGGAAAAGACAATCCTAAGCCGCACTTAGAATTACTTACCCACATAATTTTATAAGCACATATATTAGACTCCTGCTGGAGCATATATTGTGTTTCTCCGTCCTCACTCAAAACCCAGAGGAGAATTTTTTAGGTCTAAATATTTAGAAAACACAAAATAATTACTAGATAATTATTGTTTAAAAATAAATGAATTTTAAGTTTTGTGCACATAGATCTAGCCTTTAAGAAATTAGACAGTCTCTATTCAATCTTGAAGCTTTTTTTTTTAGTATATAGACAGTTTATTTTTTAATTCTTTTACTGATATTATTCTTTATCCTATAGGTTGTATATATTACATCCCAAAATTTGTTATTCAAGAAGTATCTATAACATTTATTTTGTGGAGGAGGGAAAATAGATAGTAGGAAAAATCACAAAAAACCTTCAAAACTGCACTCTCCATGCAACTTACCCCAATCTAATTTTTTCTCTCACTTTTTTACCCAAAATACACTTTCTATGCAAATACCTCCAACCAAATAAAAAACAAAAAAATACCTAAACTACTCTCCTTCATTTTTACCTTATCCACGCCTCTCTCTCCTCTATCCCACTAAATTAGGGCTCCGGCATTTTGTAAGTTCAGTCCGACAGTAGAGTTTGGCACCGTGTAAGTGCGGTCCGACAGTAAGGCTCCGATACTATGTAAAATGTGGTCTGGCATTAACAAAATGGTTGTTCGGTAGTTGCAAAGAGCAGTCCGACAGTAGAAGTTACTGGATTCCAGGGATCCAACAGTACTCAATTTTGGTCCGGTAGTTGTCTTAGGGCGGTCCGACACTTGGGCGCTTCAGCAATGTGATGGTGCGCTCCGACAATGTCCTACTAGGGTCCAAAAGTCAACGTCAAATATGGCCAAAATGATTTTTTGTGTACGGAAAGGGAATTTCTATCTAAAAAAATGATTTCTTTCCCTTAGGGGGTATTTGCATATAAAATTTGTTTTCGGGAAAAAATAAAAAAAATATTGAATTGGAGGTAAGTTGTATAGAAAGTGTAGTCTTGAAAGCTTTTTGTAATTTTGCCTAGATAGTATCCTCCCGTTGGAAGAGGAAATCTTTTCGCTAATTTTTTCCACGAACAAATGGCCTCACATTTTCTCTTTCTTATCCATTTCTTTTGAGGTGCAAGATTCTCCCCAGTACACTAGGTAACATGGTGCAACCGTCTTCTTACTTAATTTGTAGGAAATAAAAGGCTTCCTCTATAGTGTGACACGTTTGGTATATTTTAATGTGTTTTGTTCATGGAAGAAAATTTAGGTGCAAATATCAATTAAATAATCAAATAATTTCACACAATTATTGAAAATTTCAAATTACCTTACTTAAAATTAGGATTGAGGAGCATTGTTTTTTAAGGTTTATTTGAGTCTATTATCTCTTAAAAAATAATAGAACAATAACTAAATTGCCCTTGTTGAGGATTGATAAGTCATGAACAAGAAGACTAATTCAGCCCTTCAAAGTGATTCTTGGCAAATGACTAAAACACCTTTGGTTGTTTAAGTTTAGTAATGTCAAACTGCAACATGGCAAAAATAATCTTGGTTTTCTAGGGATAGCAACACAAATCTCACTTTTGTTCATTGTAAATCCTTGTTCTATGTTGTTAACCCCAAAAAACTAAGGTATTTTTCATCGATTCGCTAGGCCACTAAACTAAGACTAAAATTCTAAAAATACCTATA